AAGGATGGATTTATGTATTCTGCAGCATGAGATATGTCAGGAGCCCTGGGAGGAAAACACTGTGTCCAGTATCACTTAAAGCTTAGTCACTGCTTGCTGTACAGGATAGGGGGTCAAACACATTCAGGGTTTTGACTCTTCTATTCCCTCTCCTTCTATCTCCAAATAGAAAGAGTGAATCATGTCAGTGAATCATCTCACAAAACATTGCTGAAAACTTACCAGAATTCCATCTCTAAAAATTTGCCATATTTAATAGCATGGAATTCACTTATTTCAATAATGGAGATTGATAGCCTGTCTATACTCGAGGTGTAATATTTAAAATCAGCTGATACAAATAGATTCTCAGAGTAAGATTTGAATCATAATTTTTAACCTTTAAAAGTCAGCTCAGATCAATTACAACCATAGAAACTGTACTGGTATCAGAACATAACTATTTTATTACAAAACTCAACATTATTTACAAAATGAAAAAATAATCAAATGACTATTGCAGGCCAAAGTTAAAGGTTTTCACCCAGTGATTGAAGAAAAGTTAAGCAACATTTCCATGCACTCACACACCAGATCATTTCTGAAATATGCAAACTCTTTAAAATTCATGTTAGTAAAACTTTAATGTATTCACAATACTTGTATGTTTATTAGAAGATGGCAAAAAAAATCCATGGTTCTGTACAATAAGTTTAATATTAACAGTTTGTTCATTTTGCTTTAATATTTTTTGGCTTTCATGAACACTCATATCATTGAACATTTTGCAAGTAAGAATTATAATAGTACCTCTGTTACCTTGCTGAATTCATCACCACAAGAAAACACAATAGCTTAATGCTTTTGCACTAAACTGGATAGTTATAACTCCAAAGTTATATTAAGCTGAAGCCTTCATTGTGATCAATGGCTTGGATCAGTTTAGAGCGTAGAGTTTCTTTTTCTGTATATTTTGGAAGATCCAGAAGATTAAAACAGGTATGGGAAACTGGGAGATACTCCTCACCACCTCCTGTTGACTGGATAACTAGTTTCAGACTCTTCATACCAAGAATAGGAATTCGATCACTACCTGTCAAAAATACTACCAAGAAAAAAATCATTCAGCCAACTACTTCAAAACAACAGAGTAGCAAGTAGTATGTAGTACAGTCACTACAGCAGAGCTTTATGTTAACATTTGCTCTAAGATGGAATTTGTGAAAGACAAAGATTTTTGAGACACATACTGATTGCCCATATACATTTTTTCTCTTTTTTTTTTTTTTTGACAGAGTCTCACTCTCTTGCCTGGGCTAGAGTGCTGTGGCGTCAGCCTAGCTCACAGCAACCTCAAACTCCTATGCTCAAGCGATCCTCCTGCCTCAGCCTCCCAGGTGGCTGGGACTACAGGCATGTGCCATCATGCCTGGCTAATTTTTTCTATTTTTAGTTGTTTGGCCAATTTCTTTCTATTGTTTTTTTAGTAGAGACTGAGTCTCGCTCTTGCTCAGGCTGGTCTCAAACTCCTGAGCTCAAACGATCCGCCTGCCTCGGCCTCCCAGAGTGCTTGGATTACAGGCGTGAGCCACTCTGCCAGGCCTCACATTTTTTCTTTAAAAGTGTAATCTTAATATTGGCACAAAGAAAGTACTTAATAAATGTTTGATGAATGAATGGCTATTGCAATTGCCAAAAACATTTTGAGAGCCCTTTGGGAAAAGCCATTTAGAACTAGTTGATAAACTGAATACAAAATTGAGTTTTGACTATGATTTCTTTTCCTATTTGTTTCTGTAATTTTTGATCAAAAATTTATAATGGGCAGCCAAAATTCAAATCACTCTCAGAGAGTAATGATTTGTCATCCTTATGATATAGAAAAGAATTTAACCAAGAGTCTCAAAAAAGACTGCCAAAATATTATGGGCAATAGCTAAAGTATCAAAGGAAATGTCACTAATATTTATATACATAAATTCTGACAACTTTAAAAATAGGTCAAATTTCAATTAGAGTACACATTTTAACAGATAAAAGACACGTGTGTGATAAATGAGGGAACTAATGTCTGGCAAAGTTCTATTTTCTACAGCAATTCTGAAAATTTTGGTGCTAAGGCAAAGAGGAAAAGAAAAATGAAGACTGAACACAGGAAAGAGCTATACAGTTGGCCCTCCATATCCATGGGTTCTGCACCCATGAATTCAAGCAACCACAAATTAAAAATATTAAAAAAAAATAGTTTGTACTGAATATATGGACTTTTTTCTTCTTTTATCCTCCAAACAATCCAAATATAACAACTATTTACATAGCATTTACATTGTATTAGGCAGTCATTCATTGCATAACGATGGGGATACATTCTAAGTAATGCATCATTAGGCGATTTCGTTGTTGTGTGAACATCGTAGAGTGTACCTGAGTAAACACAGATGGTATAGCCTACACCTAGGCTGTATGGTATGCCCTATTTGCTCCTAGGCTACAAACCTGTACAGTATGTTACTGTACTGAATACTGTAAGCAACTGTAACACAATAAGTACTTGTGCATCTAAACATAGAAAAGGTACAGTAAAAATCTGGTATAATCATCTGAGACCACCGTCATATGTGGTCTTTGGTTGAAACATTATGTGGCATGTGACTGTATTCTAGAGATTACATAGGCTGTATGAAAATATTACACCATTTTATAAAAGGGACTTGAGCATCTGTGGATTTTGCTATCTTTGGGGGTCCTGGAACCAATCCCCCATGAATAGATACTGAGGGATGACTGTACTCCAGAGATCTTTTTAGAAATCTAGAAGGAATTCTATAATCCTAGTTTATTGTAACCATAGCTTATTTTAACGTATTTTAACAGTCTGCTTTTATTTCTAAGAATTAATGCTGTTTTGGAGGCAAGCTGAATTTAGCCTTTGAATTAAGAAAACACATGTAATTAAGAATGCAGATTAGCTCTTTTTTCCCCCATAAATTACCCTACTTAAACATCAAAAAAAGGACCTTGGAATAATACTATAATTAGATTCCAGTCTCATAAAATATGGAACCAGTTAAAAATACTTACACAAAAATTGTTTTTTCTTTTCCAATGGTAATTCGTGAAACACTTCCCAAAACATTTTTATCGTAGGATGTTCTGCCCAATATTCCCCTTTGTATTCTGTATTCTAAAAACAACATAAACTTTTATTAATATTAAGGGATATTAGTTTTGTTTTGAATCTTCAATCTGGCAATTGACACAAAGGTAACAGGGTCCAAGCTCCATGCAGGACTGGGGAATCTGCAGCCTCAAGGCCACATGTGGCTCTCCAGATTCCCAAGTGCAGCCCTTTGACCTAATCCAAACTTCACAAAACAAATCCCTTTATTAAAAGGATTTGTTCTGTAAAATTTGGATTCAGTCAAAAGGCCATACTCAAGGATCTGGAAGGCCACATGTGGCCCCAAGGCTGCCTGCAGGTTTCTCACCCAAGGGTTGAAACTCGTGATAGTCAGTTTCCAAGATGGCCTTCAGAGCTGTCTCCTGGTATTTACGCCCTTGCATAGTCCCCTCCCCGACACTAACGGGGTCTGACCTGTGTAATCATTAGGATGTTGCAAATAGGAATATATAATATGACTTTTGAGCTAAATCATAGAAAAAACTCTGTGGCTTCACTCTGGGAGGAACCAGTTGCCATCTCATGAAAACACTCAAAAAGCCCTAGAGAGAGAGGTACTCGAGGTTCTGAGGCCTCCTGCCAACAGCCATGTGAATGAGCCATCCTGGAAATAAATCTATCCTTAAGTAAGCTTTTAGACAACTGGAGCAACAGCCAATATCCTGACTGCAACCTCACAAGAGATCCCTGAGCCCAAACTACCCAGCTACTCTGAAATTTCTGACCCACAGACACTGTAAGACAATAAATATTCACTGTAATTTTGAGGCTACTAAGTTTTGGGGGTAATTTGCAAAAACAGAACTAATATACTGCCCCTCTCAAAAATATCAGCAGTAAGAGAGAAGCGGGTAGGAGAGAGGGAATTGTTTATTACTACACTGTGAAGTGTTCTTTAAAATCCAGACACACTTGGCCTTAACTTTCAGTTCTTTGATAGCAAGATCATTCAAGCATCAGGTCCTTTTGGGACACACTGTTCTCTCAGCCTAGACCACATAGACACATCCTTTTTTCATATTAAATGCCACCTAATTCATTTATTGACTCTTTCGACAAATATATGATGAATTTTAGCCAAAGTTTTAGGCCCTGGGTAAACTGCGATTACAACATCCTTACTTACCTTGTGGAACTTACCATCTAGTAAGTGGCTTTCCCAGATACAGTGGCCTAGATTAGGTTCCTCCTTACATACCATTCACTAAACTCTTACTCCTTCCTTGTACTCTCACAATTCAATTATGTATTTAATGTCTAGCTCCCTTATCAGAGGGCAAAGACCATGTTTCAGTCTTATTTACTGCCCTCTCCCTAATCTCCTGCATAGTATTCGGGCTCAATAAATATTTGTTATAGGGCTTCTTGAATTTTGGCCTCTTCCTATCTGTAGCCATAATAATCTCAATCACTGAACTCTTGATAATTCAAATCTGTAAAATATTTGCTGTTATTTGCAAATGAGTTTGAAGAAAATGGCTTGAATTCTAGTAGTTAACATATTAGCTTGTTAGAATTAAGATCTGAGAGCATGTTAGTGGGGAATGAAAGGATGATGGCTAAAGTTTTTCTTCTAAACCTCAAAATGGTTTGGGGTAATGTGCACACAAGTCCTGATTAAGAATGAACATTTGAAGCCACAAATCATAGTCATTAAAGTTATAATGTATCAGATACACAGTGGAAAAAAATCAAAGTACTAAATATAAAGTACACTAATATATACTTTTTAAAAAATGTCCTGTCTTACTGAATGAACACTTCTATCAATTATTGCATCAGGTAAGGTTTTAAGTACTTACTGAGTGTTATTCTAGGTGCTGGGAATACAGCAGTGAACAAAGAAGCAAAAATTCTGCCCTCATGGTGCTCACGTTGTGGTAGGGGGGAAGGAGTAACAGTAAAAACAAATAAGTAAAATTTATATTATGTCAAACCCAAAGAAGAAAAATAAAACGAGGAAGGAAGACAGGAGGTATGTGTACAGGGGAGGGGTTTGCAATTTTAGATCAGTTATTCAGGTAAGGTCTCTGAGAAGGTATAAACGTATAAAGGTGAGTGCAAGAACCCTTTGGGATTACCAAGGTGAAGAGAACACTAGGCACAGGGAAAAGGAAATAGAAAGGCCCTAAGACTGGCATGTGCGTGGAGGGTTCTAGGCTCAGCAAAGAGGCTAAGCCTGAAGCAGAGTGAGAGGAACAATGATAGGAGATGAGGCAAGGAGGGACAAATAATGGGAGATCTAAAGGGTGATGAGAAGCCCTTATACAATTTTCATTTTAGGGTGATTAGAGGTAGGGTCCATTTCTACTGGGGGACCCCTTAAAGTTAGTATCTACAGGTTTCTTCTGTTGAGCAGATCGATTTACCCCCCAAAAGAAACTTTCAATCTCATTACTGAAGGATTTAGGCCTGGCTACCAGCTTTCTATGTGCCATCCTCAGTTTTACCTGCTTGCCAGGATTATAAAGCCTCTCTCCCAAGCTGTCTTTTGCTGGGTAGAAGAGGAGACATGAAGGATCCAATTATTCTTCAAAATGGCTTTGAAGTAATTCTATTGCCTTTAGTCCAACCCCACATCCCTGTAATGTGGTGCACCAATTCAGAGATTCTGGGGTATAAAATGGGTTGCCTCCTGACAACCCTGTCCCTCTGGAGGCTTAGTGCTCTAAGTCATTTGTCAACTTACCCACCTATTTTCTATCTTCCAACATCATTTTTTCTCTTGCTCATTGTATTTTTATTTTTTTGGTGTATGTATTCCTATTTTTATTCCATTATTGTCATTCTAGTGAGTTTTTGGGAGTAGATGTGCTGATTCCACCATGCTTAATTAGAAGTCCTAATTATTTCAAAAATTTTATTCCTTGCATTATTACATAGTATAACTGACCTCTTTCTGGTATGTATACATTCTATGAGTTTTAAGCACATATAGAGATTTGTGCAACCACTACCAAAATTAGTTCCATCACTATTGTGCTAGAAGTCTCTTGTACTGCCCTCTCTACAGTGACACCCTCCCTCTACCTGTTCATCATAGTTTTGTTCTTTCAAAATGTCATATAAATGGAACCGTAAGTATGTAATCCTTTGAGACTGGCTTCTTGCACTCAGCATTTGGCCTCTGTGATTGATCCAGTCATGGCATGTATCAACAGTGTATTCCTTTTTAAAGCCCAGGAGTATTCTGGTGAATCAATATAACGTACTTGTTTTATCCATTCACCCACTGAAGGACATGTAGGTTGTTTCCAGTTTTTTAATTGTTTGCAGGTTTTTAAAAAAATAAGCTTTAAAAAATTGTGGTAAAATACACAAACCATAAGGTTTATATCTTAACATCTTTAAGTACAACCTTCAGTGGCATTAAGTATGCTCACGATGCTGTGCAAACCATCACCACCATCCATCTCCAAAACTTCTTTCATCTCTGTAGCCATTAAACAATAACCCGTTTCTCCCTTTGTTTACAGATTTTTGTGTGAACATAATTTAATACCCAAGAATAGGATTGCTAGGTCATATAGCAAATGTATGTTTAACTTTATAACTGCCAAACTAAAGTAGCTATAGCATTTTATAGTCCCACCAGCAATATATGAAAGTTCCAGATGGTTTGCACTGTGTTTTTTAGGTCGGTCATCCTAATAGGGGCACAGTATCTAACTAATCATTAATGCCAAAACTGTGTCAGAGGATGCTAGATTACATGGATGGAAAAATGGACATTTCAACCCCGCATATAACTTTCTCAAAGCTGATCTAAACTAGCACTTTTTATTTAATGTTTACCTGAAGAAATATTTGAGAATTACTTGGATAGAGAAAAAGGAAAAGTTGTTTCAAAAATTCCCAATCTTCTCCCTAAAGTTCCCTTTATTGGTTAAGGTACCAGTAAAGAAGACCATGAGCATTATTTATTTATTCTCTGCTAAAAAATTTAACACTGAGACTAATCAGGAAAAAAAGGAAACAAAGATCTTAGGCATTGCAAATGCTTCTCATAATGGTTTTCCTAGGACTGAGGCAGAAAGAAATCTCATTCAGTTTTGGCTGGGGCTTCTATCCAGCCCGTGTTACAGATATTTTCCTATCAGTACCACCAGTACCACCAACTACAGAAGTGCTATCTCTAATTCATACACAGTTCAAATCTATTCATTGTGGAATAAGAAGGGTTGAGTGTTTTCCTACAAAATGACAGCAATAAATTGTATAAAATGAAAAATGATATATTAAAAGGGCAAGATTTACACCAACAAATCATGTTCTGTTGCCTTTCCATTTAAACGATGCCACAGATTTGTTTTTCCCTACCTTTTCCAGTTCCTTCCAATCATAATTTGTATTTCCGATAACCATTGCTTGTAGTTCATTAGGCTGGAAAAGCAGAAGGACTTTTCCTCCACAGACCTTATGAAAACCCGTGTGAAAAGCATCAAATAAGGAAGCCACTGATTTATTGAATATATAATCCACATAAGCATCAACAAACTCCTGCCTAGAAATGAAAAGCACACACGCACATATTATAAAAATTATTTATAGAGAATACATAATATAGTGTTATTACAACTGTCAGTGCTCCTGTACTTTTTGCTATTTTTCTACAAAACTGAGAAAGTATGAGTAGGGTTCAAAGAGGACAGAGTCATTATGAAAAGCCTATTATTCTTTCTATATAAAACTCAGGTATATCCATGAGGCATTCAGTTATTCTTAGGCTATTGCTAATAGAAACAAATGTCATTTTTGGGCAGAATGATACAAATGACTATTAAAATAATTTTAAAATACCTGCAAATTATTGAGAATTTACATATATCACCACACACACACCCCTAAAAAGAATGATCTGTTACAAGTATTAGGTGATAAAAAAATGAGAGCTTTGGGATTCAGATGATTTGATAGACTCCAGTCTGTTTTTCCCCTTTCATTCCAAGGAATCTAAACAAAATTTATTTTACAAAAATAAATACCTAAGAGGGGGTTTTATCTGCATTCTTTTAGGGTAATCACTACAGATTACAAGTGGAGTTGCTTTTCAAACGTATGTGTGTATATACACACACATACCCTTCTGACTCTCTTCTGCCTCTTATGATACAAAAGGAAACTGTAAAGAAAAAAAGGAAAACCCCTTTAACCCAGTAAATTAGAACCACAATTTCATTCAATTTGTTTTGTTTTGCTAGCTACAAACATTTTTATGATGCTATCTGGTCAAACAAATAATGAGAATAGGTACTAGAGGACTTCAATATTTTATATCTTTGTCTTCCAAATAATAAAAGATGATGCTGCAAATGGGAATAATGGTAAATTTAATTAACTACAAATAATCTTTTTAGCAAGTTATAAAATAATTCCAAACTGAATTTACAAGGAGGAGAAAAGGGTTAAAAGAGGCCATTGTAAAATATAAAATTGGTGGGCCTGAGGAAAAACTGACAGCATATGCTATTGAGTTCTGATGAGAAAAAGAACAATTTTGTAATGTATAATTTTATAATTCATCCAATTAGAAAGTTACATTCATCTATACTAGTTAAGTCCTTTAAACACAAAAGGCTAGATCATTTTATGTGCCAACATATTTTTTGTCAAAATTCTTTATTTCTCAGCAGAAAAAAATCTAAATCATAATCAAAGTGTTTCAAGATCAAGTTTTTTTTAAAAAAAAGGACAGCTAGAAGGACCTAAAATTGTTTCACATCATTTTGAAAACAGCTTTATTTTTATCAAAGTAAGACATACGCACAGTTTAAAACATCAAATACTAATAATCCTAATAGCCAACATTTACTGAGCACATACATGTGCTAGGTCCTATTCTAAGTATCTTAAAATTTTTGCCTCACCTAATCCTCACAATGACCCCATGAAGTAAGTACAACTTATTGCTCCACTTTATAGAAAAGGAGACTGAGGTATGGAGACATCAACTAATTTACCTAAAGTTACACAGCTTCTCACTAACAGAATCGAGATTACAATCATTTGGAGAAAGTCCCCAGCAATAGCCACTAAGCTAACTTTATCTAAAGGACCAAAACAAAATAGAAGAGAACAAAGCTGCTCTCTGTCCTGCACTTCTCTACCAGGAATTCCTGCTATTCAAAGGCAACTATTTGTTAACTCTTTTTGCTATTCCTTCTGATATTTACCTTTAAGCTTCTACTAGCATAGTTCTATTGTTATTCCTTGATTTTCAATTTTAAATATCTAATGAACTGAATACCTATTATGAAAGGTGAGGATTTACCTTTTATTTAATTGTCCCACTCACACTCTCCCCCCACCCATTATATTTAGACAACAATTTCTGGTTTAATATTTATTAACATTTCTATACATATAAATATTATTCACAGTTAAGCTGTATTCTATGGTTACCTTTTCTTAAAAAGAACTTTTGTTTTCCTTAGCTTGCTACTTCAACATCATCCCCAGCTTCTCTAAAAAAATATCAATTTCCTCTAGATTCATTCAAATATATTAAGTAGCATCAGCTGCATTTTTCTCCTGGAACCCTCGAACCTCTTGATCTAACCTAGATTCCTAGATTGTTAGCTTTCTAAATCTTCTGCACAGTTATTGTTCCTTCAGAAAGAATCCTCTTTGCCTCTATCCTATATTGGATCCCGTTTTTTTTAGTTGTTTTTTGATTCCTTGTTTTAGTAGACAGAACACATCCTCCTGAAGTTTCTGAGACTGTGCATGTATGTTTTTAATACACCCACATACTTGATATTAATAGTTTGGTTATGAAATTCTAAGTTTCTCCCAGAATTTTGATGTTCTAGCTTCTGTTGTTCGTCACTTGCTTGATCTTAGCCAAAAGGCCAAGGAAAATCCAGTGTTGTTCTTTGCAAGTCTGATGTTATTCTTTGTAAACGGTCTGCTTTTTTTCCTGGATGGCTTTAGGGTCCCTTTTTCTTTGAAGATTTTGAAATTTCATGTATGTTTGTCTTGGTATGTCTTTTTTTCCACTTCCTATGTTTTCAATCCTGAAAGGATGTCATTCAGTGTTGAGAAGTTGTTTTTGTACCATTTTCTTTGACAAATTTCATTCATCTCATTTCTTTCAATGAATTTTTAAAAATCGTTAATATTAATAGTATCCATCTGGATGTCACTCATCATTTTGAGGACACTGATTTCAGTTTCTTTTGAAGTTTTGTCCTTCATCCTGCATGACTCCTATTTCCTTGCCATTCTTTTTGACTATTCTGGTCTTTCTTTAAATGTCTATTGTCCTTTGGCTATCCACTCTCATTTAAAAGTTAGGCAGTTTCCCCAGAAAAGGATCCTCCAATATGTAGCATCAAGGAGGAGGGAGCTGTAGACTTTTCTCACGTAATCTCCCTATTTTCAGTTCAGTTCCTTGCCATGGCTGGAGCGGAACTCACAAGAGTCAACCTTTCTGTTCCCAGCATTTCCCCAAACCCCATGCACTTTATAAAGGTATATTCTATATTCAGCACCTGAGTCTTTGTTCTGCATATGAACTGGCTGGCTTCTTGGCTCCTCCAGCCCATCTTATATTGCAGCTTTCTCTAGTTTGCTCAAGTTAGTTACCACTGTTTTTTGGCTTCCAAAAATATCTTTGCTGTTATCTCCTCTCCCTTTCTCCTTGTTTTTTTGTTTAATGTCTTAAAGGGATTTCAGGAACAAAACGCAGATTACTTCCTCACTAATGATTCAAAATTTAAGTTTATCTGAGTGAAAACTTAGGGTTGTAACAGGTTTTCTAAATACAGAAGAAAATGCCTATTGATTTCTTATTACTCCACTGATGCTGCTATAATTCACTTACCGATTTTGTTTGTTAACAGCTGTGTCTGCACCATTTAGAACCAGCTCTTTCACTTCTGTTGCACCAAAGTTTTCAACTGTGATCTATTAATTTAAATTTTTAAAAAAAGTCAATGTCAGACTCAAAAACTTATTAGAGTATTTTAATAATCTACTATTATATTCTACCTTTTCTCTCATTTAATATAAAAACTAATAAATTTGAGATAAAATTCTGCTACCATAAGCTTATTTGTGAATTCTGCTTAAGGCCACAAATAGGAATTTTTAACCTCTCTAGTAGTGTGAAATCCTACCATGACTAACTATAAATTACCAAGTGTTTAGTTAATTAAGAACAGGAAACTGAGTATTTATTGTACATAAAACTTGAGAATGATTACTGTAGGAGTAAAGTATTAGAAAGGATGTTTTCCTTAGATAAGTGATAGAATCCAAGGATCAGAGTGCAAACTCAGCTTAGAACAACTATGCACTTTCCCCACATGACAACTGTCACTCCTGTATTGCTCTGCCTTGTATGCTTGATCACAGGCCATTTTTCCAATTATGCATTAATTTGGTTCACAAAGAGTTATTTTGAAATATTTTATTTCTCTTACTGGTCTGGCAATTTTTCTACAAATATTACCAATCCCATCTCTGCATCTTTTCTTATTCCTTCTTTTTGCAATATTATTTTCTTTCATTAAAATGTGATGTCTATAAAACACTATAATAGGAGTGGGATAAGAGATGAATACATCCCTGCTCTGAAGTTTACTATTAGTAAAGGAGGAGAAATGTGGTTATATAAGCAACCCATTATAATACAAATAAATGTTATCAGACCATAGAGGAAAGAAAACTTAATTCTGACTAGAGGAGGTATGAAAGACCTTAAGGAAGAAGAAATGCCATTTGAAAAGCACGTAGTAGAGGGATAGAATTCTGAAAGACTGGGAGAGGTCTGAAGTGATTTCAAACTTAGCGCATCAACTGAATAAAAGGATAGATATGATAGTAAATAATAAGTTCTGAAAATGTATGGCAAGTGGCTCTAAAAAAGAGAAGGTAAGATATATGAAAAAATATTGTGTGATATAACAAAAGTTGGTTTCAATGGATACAATGGAAGTTAGAAAGCCAGATTATAAATGTCTTTGATGCCCGTTCTAAAGCTATTACTCTACAAACAATAAAGAGCCACTGAAAATCTCTTAAGAAATGAGGCAAACGGTGTGACAGTAGAATATGCTGTCTTTTATCAGCATTGACAACAAAACCATGAAGAGGACTATACTAGGGGGGTGAACAAACAAAATACAAATAAAAAATCTTAAAAAGAAAAAGAAAACTGAAGGTTTTACAATTTTCCCAACATTCAGATTGTTCCCTTCTGAAGTGCCTCATCATAATCACTGCTGACTTTTTCTTCTTTAACTGTCGACTAGTCTATTTCTGTCAGATCCTCATTTGTCAATGGCTTTGTATGTGACTGGGTCACTTATTCAACATCCCTTCGACCGATTTAACAAAATTGTGAATCTTTTACAAGATTTGCAATTTCATTTTCAAAATAATACCTGTATTATAATATGTCATCCAACAGTGAGGAAGACAAGTTAGGCAAGGATGATCGTTAGTTAGTATGAAGCAGGAAGGGATGTATATGAGTGGGAATTAATCTTTTCAGTGGTAAGTTGAGTAGTGATATTAGTAGTAAAATGTTACAATAACCTTTTGCTTCTCTAAGAATTCTTGTAATTGCAGATTCAAAAACACTTAGATAAAGAGGACCTCTTGAATTTGTAAATATCTTTAGCATAATGATAAAGCACATAGGCTTTGAAGTCACAGAGCTGGATATGAATACTGATTCTGAAGACAATGATTGTTTTTAGTTTTCTTCAACTGTAAAATAAGGATGATACTAACCTCATAGGATTGTTGAGGATTAAATGAAATAATGCATGTATTGTGACTAGCTACCACATAGTAAATGCTCAATAAATGTTAGCTAAAGGGTTCTTTAAGAATTTCATCCATAAAACAGAGAAAAACTATAAGGCACAGCTGTTAAATAACAGGGATGATGAATAATTAGGCTAACCTATGTGTTTCCATCTTACCGTAAAATTAAGACAAAATGTTTCCTCTATATCATCTTCTGGATAATCCAGTAATTGTTGCATGCTTCTGCAAAACAATATATATGTTTCTTTGAGGTAAAACATTATTGGGTATTTTGACTATTTTGCTTATGAGTAAGTATGTATTTCTTATTCCCTTTTGATAAAAGTCTTTCACTAATTTGCACTTTTACATTTGTTTCAAAATAGTGAATGTACAATGGCAAACTTACAAACACTGAAGAAGAAGAAAAAAACCAGCCTAAGGTTTTTATCGCTTTCTCTGAATACAAAGGCTATGTATCTTCCTATTGTCAACATTTGTCCTTATTTATATATAATTTTTATTCCGTTTTATGTAATAAAGAAAAAGAAACTTTACATATTCAAATTAGGAATGAAAGTGATCAGAAGTGAAAGTCCAAATAAATTCCTAACCACTCTCAGGAACAGGGATCTTCCTAAATTTTTTATCTGATATTTGCAAAGTATTGTTAAAATACCAAAAATCTAGCTTTGAAGACTAAAAATGTAGTCTTTAAGTAGAAAATTTTGGTCTGAGTAACATAATGGATTTTCCTTTATTAGAAGGGCATTTGTTTATTTCAGAAACAATTTTTTTAAATTTTTAAATTAAAAAATTTTAAGAACCCAGGCTAGACTTAAATGCCTCAACTCAGGCAATCCTCCTGCCTCAGCCTTTGGAGCAGCTGGGACTGTAGATCTATTTCAGAAATTTAATAGGAACAACAAAATGTAATTATTCCTAGAAGGAAAGCTTTCTGTACATTCCTCAGTTCTTATCTTCCAAACCCTATCCTTGATACTTTTCACAACTAACCTCCCAACATCAGGCATAAGTTCTTTCAAATCATCCAAGGATGGCTTCTTTTTCAGCAGTTTCTTATATAAAGCCAAAGGAAAATGGAGGTCCACAATAGTAAAATTATAAATTGCTAATCCACAAATAACACCAATCAAATGGAAGAGATCACTGTCTTCAAATGTCTAAAAATATAAGGAAGAAAAAGTAAAGACATGTCCTCCAAGTTAAAACATTAATTGTTTTCAGATTACAAAACATGATCACAGGACAAAATTTTGAAGATAGAGAAAAAAGTAATGAATAACAAGAAAAAAGTTCATGCTCATTACAGTCTCCCTGGGATTACATCACTGTTAGTATTTTTGCACATTTCCATCTAATGTATTTTCTAAGACAAAAAAAATTAGAACCTAGCTGACATCATACTATACAAATGATTTTACAGCTAGTTTTTTCCAGAAATATAAGCATATCCATGTCATTCATTAAATTAATAGATGAACTGATTACTGTAACTTTTCTGATTTAAAAAGTAATATACATTTTGGCCGGGCGTGGTGGCTCACGCCTGTAATCCTAGCTCTCTGGGAGGCCAAGGCGGGTGGATTGTTTGAGCTCAGGAGTTCGAG